ATCCACGGATTATTACCAAAAACTAATCAAAACCTAGCATTAGTTCAGAGCATCTATGTACCAAGTTTCATCAAAATCCAATGAGTGGTTGTTTAGATATCAGTGGAACAGTCATGGAACCACTAAAAAATAGCTAATTATCATGCAAATTAGGTAATTAATATGCACGAATTTTTACCAAAAATTAATCAAATCTGCGCATATGTTCAGAGCATCTATGTACCAAGTTTCATCAAAATCCAATGAGTGGTTCTTTAGATATCAGTGGAACAGTCATAGAACAGCTAAAAATTAGCTAATTATCATGCAAATTAGGTAATTAACGAGCATGGATTTTTACCAAAACCTAATCAAATCTGTGCATATGTTCAGAGCATCTATGCACCAAGTTTCATCAAAATCCAATGAGTGGTTCTTTAGATATCAGTGGAACAGTCATAGAACAGCTAAAAATTAGCTAATTATCATGCAAATTAGGTAATTAACGAGGATGGATTTTTACCAAAACCTAATCAAATCTGCGCATTGGCCCAGAGCATCTATGCACCAAGTTTCATCAAAAACTGATGTATGGTTCTTGAGATAGCAGTGGAACAGTCGGACACACATACACACACACATACACACATACACACATACAGACACACTAACTGCAAAGACTCCCATTTTGTGCTTCGCACATGGGAGTCAAAAAGAATGTGAACGTAACGGTAAAATACTAAGAGAAATGTTTTTGGCACTTATCTCACCCCATAGCAGTGTACGCAGGGCTATGTCATGTTAATGTCCCAGGCCTCAGTACACTAGTACTGGGTTTTGTACAGTACGGTGTACTTTGACCCCGACCGCACACAAACGCATTGTCACGACCACCAATGCATTAGACTGTGTGTATTACGTTTGAGTGGCAAAGCATTTGGTTTTCAAAACAAAATGTTGCAATTGTTGTTGAAAAAATCCTGCGCAGATGAAGAAATACAAAAAGAAACAGATAAATGTAAACAAATCACTATTGTGTAACCTTCTTCAGTCCATCTTTTACCAGGCCAAAAACGTACAATACATATTTTAAAAAGAACACCAATATATTAATAATCTGAAATCTATATCCAAATAAACGAAACTCGACTAAATTGAAGACTTACCTCGCCAAGCTCGGATTCAACTTTCGACGACGCCATGTTGACTGGGGATGTCCTTTGCTATGACGTCGTATCAGATGATTAAAGTTGTGTATGAGACACGAAATGTGATTAGTCAAAATGCTGTACAAGTTTTTATTTTCTCCAATCAGAATACATCTAACATGAGAGCGTTTACATTGAACTGTACTTCCGGGTTTCCAATAAATCCCTTGCAAACACTTTCAATCGTGGTGCTACTTTGGTATACTGCCTTAGAAAACTTCAGGTAGTTCCTTTCTGTTCGGCTTGGGTAGCATTCAGGTGTGAGTTTGTAGAATAGAATATAATAATTTGTTTGCATTCTCTGCAATTCAACTGTTTTATCTTTTGATCTTAAAGGTTGTTTCCGTTATATAATCTTTCAAGTACTTTCTCTGATTAAATTATTCTAATTTTTGAATTCCTGCAGATTACCATGGCAACATCTCCCAAACCGTACAAAATATGGAATTCGTCGCGCACAGTTAAAAAATCTCTTGTTGCTAGAAGTCTAGAAGAACTAATAGAGAAAGGAAAGTTAAAATTAAACGTGGTCACCTCTGAAGCTACTGTTGTACTTGAAGATGATGGAACTGAAGTAGATGAAGATGAATATTTTCAACTGTTGCCTAGCAACACAGTCTTTATCCTGTTAAACAGAGGAGAGAGATGGACTCATTCAGGTATGTTGGATAAGGTGTAATATTCTCTACCCAGTGGATAACTTTGTGATAGCTATAGTGTAGAGTCCAAGTGTAATTTAACCCCCTAGCTGGTACAAAGTGTGTATGATTGTCTTTTGAACCGTATTTGACACTACAAAACATTAACCATAGAAATGCATTACTAAAATTGAGAACAAGCACACACAAACTTGAAATTGAAAAGGGCAGGTATACACACCCTAAAACACCAGTAAATGAAAGAAAATGCAAACAGTGCAACATGAATGTGATTGAGGATGAATTTCACTTTCTCATGATCTGTCCAAAATATGGAAACTTGCGCCAACAACTTATATCTGAATTTAATTTTCTATCACATGATGCACACAATACATTCATTCGATTGCTCAGTGCAGATGATTGTAAAATTAAAAAAAAGGTTTCACAGTTTATTTACAAAGCCTTTCAAGAAAGAATAGATAATTGATAGCTTTGAATTTTATTATTATTAGTCTTAGTTTTATTATTATTAAACTTATTAGTATTAGTAAAAAAAAAAAATTTAACACATTATATTTTACTTTTATACTTAACATTATAATATTTTCTCTTTCTTTATTATTTCATTATTATTATTATACTTTGTTATACTTTTATTGCTACTGTACTGATAGAAATACTGTATTTCTAAAGATGCAATAAATAAATATTATATATATATTATATTATAAACAATTTCAAACTAAGTGAATAACTATTTAAGCACATTACATTAGATACATGATGGTTTTGAGAACAAGCTAATAATACAAAATCAAAACAAATCCATTATCCAATAACATACAAGATGGCAAAAATCATCAGGTTCATTTTACGCACAATTCACCAACAGTGTAAGTTTGGACCATCTTGAACCACTCTACGTCTCTGTACAAGTGGTGGTACCAGGTGTCCGGAATGGGTACGCGTAGCCTGCTAGCATGCTACCCCCATCAAGATGATACCAATAACTCTGTATCTATCTGGGCAAGTTGTAAAATAGTTTATAAGTTAGCCTCAAGCCATCTTAAGGGAGAAGCCTACTCATAAATGAAAATACCCAGAAATTATTCATTTTGCAATAAATTGTATTCCAGGGTAATAAAAGGATATTGACTTGAAAAAAGTTAGGCGTGACAGGGCTCATTTTCGGGAAAACGTTGGTTATATTTTAGTGGATTGTGGTCACTTAATAATACATGTAGTAGTAATAATAATAATAATACCAAATTTTATTGCATCCTTGAAATAAATTTTCACTTTGTCAGTATTGTAACTGCATAGATTTCTATGGAAATGGTATTATGCCATAATTGCCCTGAATTATATCAAAAATCTGGGTTTAAATAGTGTTAAAAAATGCAATTTTTCTTCAACATTGCGTTGAATAATACTAAAAATAGTACAAGTTTCTCAAAATACATCAATGTAAAACACAAAAGAATCATGGTACCACAGGACAATAGCTCTAAGACTGTACATAATCAATCAATGAACAGTGATTTATGACTGTACATAATCAATCAATGAACAGTGATTTATGACTGTACATAATCAATGAACAGTGATTTATGACTGTACATAATCAATCAATGAACAGTGATTTATGACTGTACATAATCAATCAATGAACAGTGATTTATGACTGTACATAATCAATCAATGAACAGTGATTTATGACTGTACATAATCAATCAATGAACAGTGATTTATGACTGTACATAATCAATCAATGAACAGTGATTTATGACTGTACATAATCAATCAATGAACAGTGATTTATGACTGTACATAATCAATCAATGAACAGTGATTTATGACTGTACATAATCAATCAATGAACAGTGATTTATGACTGTACATAATCAATCAATGAACAGTGATTTATGACTGTACATAATCAATCAATGAACAGTGATTTATGACTGTACATAATCAATCAATGAACAGTGATTTATGACTGTACATAATCAATCAATGAACAGTGATTTATGACAACTTTCTCAAAAATTATTACTGGGTTTTGACCTTCAAGATTTTGATTTCAATAAAAGTACAAGAGTATTCCGGTGAAAATATTGTATAAATATTTTATAAATCTCTATATAAACAACTGGTCTTCCCTTCATTTAAATTCACTGTATGGCCATTTGGAGCATATATTTCAATCATTATGGTTGATGATAAAATTGAATAGTTATACAATGATTTCAAGTATCCAGGGATGTTGTTTACGAATAATTTTAAGGTATGTTTAATAAAAAAGCATTTACAAAAATCACAGTGGTGATTGAAATCCATCTGACAGTTAAAGATTGGTTGAATTCAGATTAAATAATTTTGCATTCTAGGGTGAAAACATTATAACTTCATGAATGGGGAACCTGAAACTGTTATACCATTAGAGGCATTGCATTACACTTATGATGCATTGCACATTATGTGAAGTTTTATTTCATAGAAGAAAGTGAAATTGATTTTATGTCCTTGAATAATATATTGAGTGGCCAGTCTAAGGCCTAGTGACGCTTTTGAAATAATCATTACATTCAAATTTATATGTTATTACATATAGTGGCAGTTTCATTAGCTGATGTTTTGGGTTGTTTTTTGAGTGTGTCTGACATTTCCTTAAAAAATCTACTACACAGTGTACTGGCATAATGTTTTCGATATATGCTCGCAATTATTTTTTGGTGAAATTTAATACAGCGATTACACTGTTCCCATATATTCCTCTTATTATTACAAAGATTTAAGTTTTTGAAGCTAAATGTTCAGATACATTCTTACAAACTTGTTTCCTTCATTTCTCTAATAAATATAACTTTCAATTTCTGTTGCATTTCACCAGTTGATATTCATATGGTGCATAGTGCTTTAAAATATAAATTGGTAACAAATTTTTCAATTGATTTCCAGATGCACAAAATACTAGTACTTCCATGGATGAAGTTGACTACTTAAAAGCGCCCTCCCAGTCCACTAGGACTGTAGAAGTTGATGGAGGTGGTGGGAGTATAAATCAGTCTGTGGTTTCCATAGCAACTCGTCTGAAAAATGACATTGCATCAGTGATCACGTTGTCCAATGAAGAATTACAGGTGTGTACTTACACCTCTGAAGAGAAATCTGCATATTTGATCAAATTACAAATATTCAAGCACAGATTGTATTTTAAATTTCTAATTATTTGTGTTTTCATTGGAAAAAAAAGTGAAGATCAATAATTAAATAAATGCTGCTCGGACTGATA